TATTTTATTTGAACTCTCTCTTCCTGTTGGTTAAAATGTTGTTGGAAAAGCAATAAATAAATCTTTGGGGAAAAAAATCACAGTTTTTCAGCAACTGCATCACTACATGTGAGATGCCAACTTGATCCCATTTAATCGCAAGCTGATAGCACACTGATAGCTGATTGGCTCTGGCTAACTGCTGTCTTCACACACCAAAGACTGTTCGGAGACGATAACTGACTGCACGGTTTCAGACCTGGGCCCCGTCTTTGAAGCAACCATTTCAAAGGCAATGAGATCGTAAGTTCACGGGAAACAGTTGCAATCGTTTTTTCCATATTGCAGTCTCCAACCATTGTTTTCACCAGTGTGACTGCAGCATAATGCGGATCAGTAGGTCCTCAAACAGAACATTCAATTGGACCCCAGGACAGCAGTAGAAACACTAGAGATTTTTTGTATTATATGAAAACAAACTATTGTAATAAAAAATGTAATTTCATGAAGAGAAAATTAAGTTTTTGAATGTAACTTTTTTTTTTAAAGAAAGAAATATTAAGGAACCAAAAAAATTTAATAACAAAATAAAAAGAGACTTTGGACAAACATTGCTCTGCATTACCCAGAGGGAATGAGCCATGTTGCCTTCATGGGTAATCTCATCACCAAAGTGAATCTACCCTTAAAACAAACGTGAGCTATTCACTTCAGCCGACTTTCTTATCTGTACAGATTACCAGCAGTGACAGAGCAAAGCAGTCGTGGGCTGGAGCTTTTAAATGCTACATTAGACGCCTGCTAACCTGCCCCTGGAGGGAGATGGAGATTGAAAGCTGTTGTCAGTATGAGGGCTCCCTCAAGTCATGTGTCGCTACACAGTGGGAGCTACTTCCTCTCCTACAAACACACATCTCAATCAATGGTAGCCAACTCTGATCCATGTACACGTCCCATTATCTGGCAGAGAGAGCAACTAAAGACGTGGACTAAGAAGCACCTGTAAACACAGGGCAGTTTTTTTTAAACAAGTAATCTATTACGCATTGCTCTTGTGTAAAAAGGTGTAAAATAAAAAAAAGGTGTGTATTACTTTATGCAGTATTCTGTTAGCACACTCTGCCCTGCATTTGCGACATGCAGGTACCAACATGTCAGCAGAAATCCCTGTCCAAACAATGAAACAATGCAGTGATGTGAACAGGTAAGTACATCCCATAGAAACTGTTTGACATCTCTGAACAGTGTCTACATATAAATATTGATATACTCAAACAAACAATACAGAGTAGTCAAATTCTGAATACATAAAACAAAGCTGATGTACGTCACGTAAAAAGAAGCAGCAATACCCCCGAATAACATCTCCAAACCTCTGAAATTAGAATCAGACCAGATAGCAACATTGGCAGCGAACGAGGCTGACATCTGCAGTTATCTACGGGTCACATCTGGCCATGACTGTCAGCGCTGGCTCAGAGTCTGGATGCCTCAACTCTGCCACAGATCTACATAATGTAGGCCAGATGTCAGGGGTGTTATGGCATTTAGGGTGATATCAGGCCTATGTAGCGTTTGCCATAAAACCCACATTTGGCAGCATCATAATTGAGCTGTAGTTTCCAAAAATAACAGAGTGTAGGCTTAGACTGTCAGGAAGACCCTCCGCAATCCAGTTCATCAACTGATATTGGTTTCGAGTAGAGGGTCAAAGATAATTCACAGACCAGCACGTGTCAATCATGGCCTCCACGAGAGATAAAGGCATAAAAGATAGTTCCTCTTCAACTCGGTCTAAACTAAGCTGTCATGGTAAAGTTAAATAACTAAAACTCATCCTCGTTTCAGTTGAAATGCATTTGTCTGGTCAAACCTCAGCACTGGATAAGAACTGTCCTGGGGCAGGCCCACAGGTCATGCTGGGGGGGTCAACAAATGAACCCACATGCTCAGGTGTAGTCCTCCAAATATCCACGGTTAAGATTAGGCGTTGAGATCCTGTGGTTAGTGGTTAGGATAAGCTGTCAGGTTGGAGTTAGTTTCTAAAGTCTCTGTTTAAGGTTAGGCCTTAAAAAACGGTGCTTAGAGATGATGACCAGGCTGGATGCCCATAGTCCCCTGTTGCCAGATCCTGAAATTGTTCTGTAGGCTATAACTGATAGTAACGCTCCCAGGAGATCCCGAGACAGCTGCACAAATGTCTACGCTGTTTTTGTACGACTTTTTGGCTGTTTAGATCAATCAAGTGGAAATGCCATGTGGCTGTGCCATTACGAAGAAGTGTGACAACCATGAGATGTTCTGTGTCATACTGACTGCTTGGAATTTGTTGTACACCTGCTCAAAATCAGCCACCAGCTCCTTATCTTTTCTCCACGTTTAGCAGCAAGTTTTCCTCAGCAAGACTATTCTTTCCCGGGAGCTCTCACCGCTGTTTGCAATCCAGTTGCAAAAATCACTGTGATGTTCTCGCTATGTCTGTGGATGCAGTGATTGGTGTGCAGCATGAACAGGAGGGGACTGAGCACACAACACTGGGGAGCTCCAGTTTTGAGCACCACAGTGGGGGAGGTGTGACTGCCAACTGTCACACCAGGAAGTGCGGCACTCAGTTTGCCAATTAGTTTCTTCGGGGAGATTCTATTGAATGTTGGGCTCAAATCACCGTATTCAGAAATAGGTGTTATTTTCAAAGCGTGGGACTATAGATTTGAGGGCAGCGGGAGTTGGATCCTCTGTGGATCGATTGTTTCTAAATGCAAAGCGACGAGGGTCCAGACTGGCTGGGATGCCGGTCAAAACAACTCATCTGAATTGAGGTGATTGCCACAGTGCAGTATTCATTTAGACAAGACACTGCAGACTTTCCAGGTATAGGGATAATGCAGACTGCCTGGAAGCAGGTGAGATGCCGGCAATAGCATCAGCTAGCTGATCGGCACATGTTTTTAGTACACAGCCAGAGATGTTTTCATGCCCAGCAGGTTTGCTCATATTCACACTCAGCGGGATTCTTCTCACATCCACTGCAGATACTGATCATGCCAAGATCCAAAGAGCTCTCTAAGGCCCTCAGAAAAGGCTGCGAATGCCCATGAGATTTTATAAGATCTCAGAATATTTTGAAATAAACAACTTTAAGGAACTACTAGAGGTCTAGATTTCACAAGCGTGACCGTTTTCAGGACTGGTTGGACAAATTTAGCCCAATCGCAGACTATAAAAAGAAGTCTGCAACAACCCCAGAATCTCATTAGAGCATCTGCAGATAACTCCTACAGCTGATCTTGGTGGTGATTCATCTACAATCACAAAGATATTTTTACAGAGTTGAACCACATGAGAGGTGCGCTTGAAAAAAAGAAAACACAGAAAAGAAACTGAGAAAAAAAACAGATTTGAAGTTTTCGGGGGTGAAAACAGCGGTGCATGCAAGAAAATCGTCAGACATATCACAACTGGTAGGGAGGCACCTACAAGTTACTGCTGTGAACTGGGGCAGAGTTACGAGCTTCTGAAGCCAAGGGTGTGTTTTATTTTTCAAACATCACATCTATTGATGTTTTTGACAAAGCAGTAGGTGCGATCAAAACGTTTTAGGATCATCTTCATCAAAATCAAGAACCTAGACTGAAATATATCGGCCCGGTCTCACAGTCAGGGTCACCTTCATGGGCACGTCCAGACGAATTCCAGCACCGCTGCTATTTTTAGGTCTTTTCCTGGAAGAACCGTTTTACCACCACAAACTCCAAACTTGTACAGAGAGGGAATATAAGGTGTGTGCTTAAAACCGACTTGAATTTCATGTGCAGTTCATGGAAGCGCTGGTCTCCAGTTACGCAGTTTTCAGTTTCCAAGCCTGAAGGCAGCACCATCACGTGAGGATGGAGACCAGGAGAATATTTGCGTGTGTGTGTTGTATGAAATCATCCCTCAGGCCAAGACTATCAAGCGGATTTCTGCTGTAATGTCCTGAAGCATTTAAGGAAGAACATTAAACAACAAATTGCACTGGGGTGCGCGTCATCTCAGGCAGTGTGTGAGTGCATTGGAGTTTCTTGGCCACACCACTGCTACGTTCGCTCTCCTCCTGCTGGACTTGCTTCCCTGCAACTTTGTCTGCTTCTTGAAGATAAAATGAAGCTGAAGGATTCTGAGGCAACGGTGGCGACACAGTGCAGAGGAACAAGTTAACAAGGAAGACGCTGGCTTTCCACAGGCACATCTAAAGATAGCACCAGCACTGAAAACGATGATCTTTAATGGCAGACTGGCCAATATTTAAGTTTGGTATGGTTAATGACTTTTAGGCATTTCTCACATTTAAAAATGTGTTCAAAGAGCCAACATATGTTTTTGTCCTTTCTCAAGAAATTCCAATCAACTCGATATTGCCACTCTTCAGAGTTTGTAGAGTGCTTTGTTCCCGTCACGTGAACAAACTAAGATCTGCTGACATTTGCTCAAACTTGCATGAAAGGCTTTTTTTTAATGGCCAGTAAGTAAAAAACTGAATAATCACTAGATCAGTAAGTAATGAAATCTGATTACTGACTTAAGGAAAAGCAATGTCGTGCATTTGCTGTAACATAAGCACTGCAACGTTGTAACCCCGAACACTGAATGCGAACAGTATCGTAAAAAGGACACAGAACAGCCAGAAAATAGATAACTTTAACAATTTTATTTGTGAAAAACTACAAGCAAAATTCATAAATAGACATTTCTATTTGAAGCAGAGGAAAATGATCGGGTTAGCCTATAAGCGCAAAGTCGTGCACATGCCAGAAACATGTATTAGTTCAACATTATAAGCTAGACAAGGAGCTGTGATCTGCTGAAAATGCTGAGTACATTTCCACACCAGGAACATAATGTGACCATTTCACAAGGGAAAACAATGACACATCAGCTATAAGTTTAAAAAAAAAGAAAGAAAAGAAAGAAAAGAAAAGAATTTAGATAAAACTAAAACTGGATTAAACAAAGAATGGATTATTGTTCTCTCCCTACTTTTTTTTTTTAATTTTTCTTTTAAACAGAGCAATAACTTTAAAAGCATTGTACAAGACATCGTTATAGGAAGAAATGAGTTTGTATAATACACGTAATTGGAATTCACGGTTAAGGTTATACAGTCAGTAAACAAGCATTCTATATTTGGGTCTGACAAACAAAGCTAAAAAATGTAACCATCTTTACACAGTAAATTAAGGTTACTGGTCGCACACAAGAACAGAACTGCTTGCGCGGGAAGGAAACAGGAAACAAAAAAAAAAAAGACTTCAGCTCCAATGCCAGTATTCATAGTGTTTGCTTTTGCACCTTTTTAAAATTCTATATACAAGCAATAATTCATATACTCAGCAAATGGCCCATTTGTCAATAATTTAACCATGAATCCTTTCTGTTGGGAGTACTCAGTCAAAGTGAATGTGGTTGCAGATAAGGCAGGTGAAAAGATGGCTTTTTAGGCCCATTTCTAACCGATTGCATTACAAAGCAGGGTTTCATTCTCTGTAAAAATTGGACAAAGCATTTCCCCTCTGACCAGCAGTCCCACTTTTTTTTTTAAAGTTCTATTCACATTGCTTTTCCTCACTTTGAACACTGATTCCATATTTGTATGCAATAAAGTACATAATTACATATTAACCATCGCTCAGAAGCAGAAAAAAATAAACACATCTCCTGGACTGACAACACACATGATTATCATCCCTACGTGTGACTCTGGAAAGCGTTTGAGTGTACACAGATCAAATCCTGCCCCTCACTTCCTAGGAGGGTTTTTTTTAGTTTTGGGGTGGAGGGGGGGTAAAGGAGGGGACGGTTACCTCTCGTAACCTGGCTTTTAGTTGCTCTGGGAGCGGCTCAGTTTGTGAGCTGGGGCCTCCGTTAGGGGAGCTGCATGTACAATGGTAGTCCAGCAGAGCGAAGAGGGGCTCGCTAAGGCCAAAGTCTTAAGACCCAGAGCTCTTCCCACGCCCACACTGCTTCTCACTGTGTGCACGACGAGGCAACATCCACCACTGCGTGTGGAGCTGTGGTTTTCCCTCGACTCCGCTCACAGCATGATGACCTCTGCCCCAATTTAGCCACGCACAAAGATGAGTGGACAATAAGAACACCATTTACATGGATTATATTAGTCTTTATTTAAACTGTTATTCATCTCACACATTAGATAATTGCATTTCAAATTGTTATTCATCTGTCTATGTATCATGTCATTATGAAATTCCTTTGGTCCTTCAATAAATAAAACTAAGATATCATATACACATTTATTCTTTATACAATTTCATACAGTTAAAAGGAAATTATGTTGGTCTAGTATCAGCTAAGGTGAACGTGAATTAAAACCCTTAAATAAGCCTTGCTGCATTAAAATTGAAAGAACAATTGTCTTCTATTTAACTACTGCAATATTGTTTTGCCTTCAATGACAGGAGTCTTAAATTAATACAAATAAAAACAAGTCAATTGAATTGTCAATCTTTGTAAATTGTTCTCGTCTCTGCACTCTGTTTTCTGGGTGGACTTCAGGACCACATAAAAAGAAAAGAAAGAAGGTGGAGGAGGAAAAAGAAAAGAAAATCGACTCACAACAGCTTGACACAACAGGTCTATTTTTACAGTTCGATATGGTTTTACCAAGTGGAACTGCTTTTAACCATCATTCAGTCACAACAGAAAATGCTCTGGCTCCTCACCAGCTGAGAGGACAGCTCTGCCTTCAGCCAGAAAACTCAATATTTAAGTACCAAATGCAGAAAAATATTGACAGCTTTTAGTGTTTTACACAACAGCCTACACTGTACAGTTAAAGACATAAGATACTGTATAAGAGATCTGCTATAGCATACTAAATCATAGACAATCTAGTTGAAAAAGTCAGGTGTCTGAACTTTAGGTGACCTTCTTCTGATGCACAATGACCTGTACAGAAAAGGTAGATGGACCTGGAGGTCCCGACAGTGTTCAGCGAGACAGTGTTGTTGAGAAAAGTGAATGAGAATTTGATTCATCAGCACTTTGTCACATTGAGCGAATGGGCAATCCCAGATCTGCAAAACCGCTTCACAGTGTATCTAGCACCAGTGTGTGTATGTGTGTGAGTGTATATGTGTTGTATCTGACGTGTGTGCGTGTGTTGTCCTATTGTTTTCAGACTGTAGTAAAAACACTGAAGGAACGATCGATCTGCAGAGCTACACAGCAAAGCTTCAACATAAAAAGGAGAATATCAAAGTATACAGGTGCAACAGGTAATAAATAAAGGTAATAATAGTTTTAAAGTTATTAAAAAAAGTGGTGGTTATTGTGCCCAGCGGAGAATTCTTCTTTACAAAAACAAAACAAACAAACAAAAAAGTTGAGTTGGCCTCACATCCACGTACAAATATAAAACAATACATACAAGTGTCTGGATGCTACTGGGGAGGGGGTTGAGGGGAAGGAATGAGGCTGTTATTCCGTGTAGGCCACCTCTCCTCGCCTGTGCCACAGGTGTAACCACGAGGGATATTCGCCAAGCGGGGGCGCTTGTTTTCCGTAAAAGATGGCACCTCACTGTTCCTCTTAGCATCCAGGGGAAATCGTGGAATGAAGGCGGGTCGGCGATGGGAAAAGGTGAAATCCCTCCCCCAGTGGGATCCATAGTGTCCAGAAACATGGGAAAAGGGGGGAGCGGTGCAAGGGTGGATCATAGGTGGTGGAGGATGGCAGCGGGACCTCAGAACGATTCGTCATGCCCCACAGAGAGATCCCCTTTTGGGGTGGAGGCGCGTGACGAGCCCTTGTCCATGCTCTCGGAGCCGGAGCTCTGGTGCTGCTGTTCGGAGCCCGCGCTGGATGTGACGGTGGATGAAGATGTGGAGGAGGAGCGGGTCTTCTCCTTAAAGTCTGTTATGATCACCGTGACGTTCCCTACGGTGATAGCCAACTGCTGGGCAGTACTCCGGTCAATGTTCTTCAGTTTGGGCCTGAGGAGAAGAGAAGGAGAAAAACTAAATATTAGTAGTCACGATTGCCAACTACAACATGTGCATCTCAGCAACAACAATGGGAGGCTTCCAGCACTGTGGGGGTGGTTACACTAAATTGCTCAATTCATCGGGTGACACATGCACAGTCAGAACAAGTGCATCAAAAGTAAGAGTGGGCGTTTAGTGTAAAAGATCATTTGTGAATCAGCTGAGCTTTCCCACTAACCTTGTGCTAGATGAGTTTCTCTGACCAGAATTACTGCATAGTCATACAAGTTAAACCACGTGCTCTGTGAAACACATGCAGAGCAGGAGAGTGGGCTACGCACCTGGAAATGTGAGAGTTCTTGTTGGTCTTGGTTGCTGATTTGCCAGACTGTATGCTGTGTTTGTCACTGGGTGAACTCTGATGGCTGTCAGATTTGGGTCTGGAGGAAAACAAACGCACACAAGTGAGGATTGACATCAGCACCACTGCAGGCATGCAGAAACATGCGCTGTGATTCGTACGCTGACCTGGTCTTTTTGCTGCTGGGCTTCTTCGTCAGAGCTGGGCTGATGTCCTTCTCTCTGTCGGGTTTGTCTTTGATTGGCTGCTCCTTGTCGCTTTTTTCCTTCTCAGGAGTGTCTCCCTCTGGCCTCACTCTCTCTGGACGTTCGACCTGTGGGCGTCCTTCTCCGTTGGCTCGCTCTCCTTCACCCTCCGGGCGCTCCTTGTCTATGCGCTCGCTCCTCTCTCTCCGCTCCTTCTTGGGTGGGGGAGGCATCGGGTATTGCTGAGCCACCTGCTGGGCAACCAGCTGGGAGTTGATCCGGGGTTTCCTGTGGAGGAGATCCAAGGCACAAACATGGATTAGCCTTGTAGTAGAGCTGTGAACTGACTTTGGCCACAGACCAACGTGGTCATGCTACAGCTGACGAAAAGAAGCGACTGAACGTGGAGGTCAGCGGGAGGGGGGGGGGCTTGCTGCTCCCAGCTGCTGCACAGGCAGGTTTGTGCAGCCGCTCCCTGGCGGAGCAGCTCTATTTTAGGACTAATCTCATTAGCTCACGGTCGTAATAAAATGAATGCACAGGATCACAAGGTGGGACATTTGCAGCACGTCACTTAGGTCCTCTAATCTGATTACTGTAGGGTTGGCCCAATTTGTCACAGATTGAGATTCAGCTGGACGTGGTATTGCTGCTCCCTCTCAGTGAGCTCACCAGCAACCACAGAGCCCTTTTTTTAATACTCATTTGAAAACACAAATAATCACAAACCGCAATCTGACTGAGCATTCTTATTCAGCAGAGACAATAAACACAAGGAAGATAAATGTCACAAGCAACTTCTAATTACCCAGAGTGGGAGGTTCACATAAAACAATTTGTTTCTGAAAACATCTTTTCTGTGGTCTCTCGCCACAGAACTGCTGAATAGGGAAGTTGTGAGTAACCCAAAGTCGGAGGGACTGAGCCAAAACACACACCTGCTGCATGATGAACATCAGCTAACAGCATCTGGGGGAGGGGGGGGAGCACTCGGGGGAGAGGGAAAGATGGCTGTAGTCTTCCAGAGACTCAGCAGAGACCAAACCGCAGCCAGCAACATGGATAATCACAAGCCAGCACTGGGCACGCGTGGTGAGGAGTAAACCACAAGTACGATCACACACACAAACATGCACTCGAAAAGCTTAGCGTGCAAACAAACAGCCGGGCACAGCTTAATGGCTGCTCAGGGGCCCTTTCAACAGGAACAAGTTCTACTAGATGTGTATACCCAACCTTTCCAAAAACCATTTCTAATCTTGGCAGGAAGTTTCTTTCTTTCTTTTTTTTTTTTTTTTGCAACAATACTCCAGCAGAGCAGAAGGCAGCCCTCATCCCTTGACCTCTGACTGCTTTAGTAAACCTGTGGCCAAGGAGTGAGGCTTGAAAGTTGTAGAAACTCTGCTGGTCCAAGTATCAGTCCAGACAAACAAGGGTTAGTGCTGGAAAATGAAGCTGTAGCGTGTCAGACTGTTTTAAGTGGCTTGCTGTAGAGAGTGGTTTTCAGACAGCAGCTTAAGTGGCAGGCCTCAGTGTTTCAATTTAGCAACATCATATTGCCACTCCTGTTACTCTTGTTTCTGCACTTAAATCCTCGCACATCTTTCACAATTGAATCTCCGCTCTCAAAGTCTCCCAACCTTTTAGTGGCCCGCTGCTTATAAACTCAGAGCTGTGTCCATCTTTTCTGTTTTTTTCTGCTGATTCGCTCCCAATCCTCAACTGCTCCATCAAGCTCGTTTATTCTCCTCCTGCTGTGAACTATTACAGAGTGAGAAGGAGAGGGTGGGGACCCGCAGCTGATCAGAAGACAATCAATTGGGGTATAATAGAGCATCATGTTGTAATGCTTGCACTACATTCCAATCAATACGGCAGCTGTGCTGAATGCTGATGAGCCCTGGGCTGTTGATCCAGGATCCATTAGCTGCTGTGGTTCTCTGGAGCCCGTTTTCTTTCCCCTCCTACCTGCTGCCCCTGTGTGTGGCCTCGTTTTGGGAGTGTTCTGTGGGTGAAAATTAAAGCTGGGAGAAATCTCATCTTTATAATTGCCAACCCTATCCTATTCCCATCAAAGAGATCCCAATTCCACTTTAATTTGGAGTAATTACTTCCTGTGCTGAGTATGAGAGGTCCTAATTGGAAAAGCCAAACTGAACTCAGCAAAGCTTTTAAATACAAAGTGATGAATTTAGTAACTACAGTAATGGACTTGTACCCTGACACTAGATGTTGTGTGTCACATCTCCAGGGAGATAAAGCGTAATGTTCGATGACATTAACATGAATTCCTGACATAGGATTTTCCTTGTCCTGTCCCGATGAAATAACGTGGTTCTCTCTATGGGAATTCAACAGATCTCTGGAGTGCCTCATTCAGTATCATCATCGTGCTGGAAATGTGCACAGCTAACAAAATATGAGAACGTATTCAAGGTTTTCACTCAACCACATAAAAAAGAAAACAAATAATAAATCTACTTCTTTAACCCACCGCCACGAGTAAACAGACAGGATCCAACAGGACCAGATATCATTCTTTGTGGCAGCCAGTGCTGTGAGTCAAGGAGGTGGTGAATGAGTGACTGACTGATAAGCCCATTGCAGAATTGATGCCCTGGTCAGAGCTTGAGATTTGTGTCGACAGCACTGGTGGCAGCAGAAGCCGTCCTGCTGGTTAGCCGGTGATTCAGTGCCAGCTGTAAGTCAGCCATGAGCTGTTGCTGGCATGACAGAGCCACTGCTCTCTTTACCCCATTATTTATTCACTAACCATACATCGTGACTTTGCACACTGCTGCTCTGTGGCTCATTAACACGGCGTTCTGCATGACACTACGGTGTGTGCTACTGGATTTCATGAAATAATAGAGGCCCTGAAAAAGTCTCCTGCTTAAAAACCATTACGGTTCATTACTGAATTATTCCACATTGTTGAACATGGGAGTGTACTAATTAAACTACAACACCGCTAAAATTACTTTTACAAGTGAATATCCAAATCAAATAAGAAGCATCTATATAGCACAAAGGAAAATGGATACTGGGAGTAGGACCAAAAGTAAACCCCAGGGTCCAATTGCAGAAATTGCTCCAACCTCCCACTGCTGCCAATATATTCCTGGTAAAGTGTGTGTGTGTGTGCGTAGGTGTCAAGTGTGTAAAGCCTGCTGTTGAATCATTTCCCACTGTGAGGGCTTACAGCATATTACCTCCCCTTCACACAACAATAGGCTGTGATTGACAGCTCCTCCCATGCTTGCCTCCAAATTCCACAGACCGAGGGGGAGGGAGAAATGGGGAGCCTCCCTCTACGGGATGCCCTGAAATAACTATCATCATGCTTAAAAGCTCCTAATTCAGTCAGACTGACACCCATAGTTAGACTGCTCCACTCAGCCTGAACTGTCACAGCGGCAGACACACCTCTGCTCAGCTGGTGCTCTCACTGGTCAGGAGCAGCCGATACTTGCCAGCCAGGAGCAAAAGCTGAGGCTGCTATTTCAGAGGCAACTCCTTCTACAGAAACTAAAAACAATGAGCCTGAGCACTTCACTGAGAGAGACTAATGAAGAGAGGGAATGAGCGATGGAGAGTGCGATATACAGACAGACACAGAGAGTGAGAGAGAGAAGGAGGAAAGCCCTCATTAACACAGCTCTTTTATTTGAAGTGCTGTGGAGGACAAGCAATTATTTCCTGCCAAACTGAGTGAAAGCAGCGGCAGACAGCTGAGCGAAGAGGAGAGAGAGAGACAACTAAGAGACAACAGAGTTCTTTGGCCAAGGCCAGCCCGCTAAAAAGCGCAGACTATTAAACGTCACCCACTCCCTCATTCAGATATCAGCGCAGCAACAATGGGGGCTTCCTTTTCTTCAGTGATCTACAAAGTTGTTCTGCAACTTGAATCCTGCACACATTCATGGCCAACCTAACTTTCTCCACTCACGGCTGAAAGACTAGAGAGCCTCAGCCTGGAGCACATGTTTCAGATCCTGCATCTGAGAATGTCACAGGCTTTTAACATCTCGATCAACGGAAATCACACCTTATTTTTAAGTAATCGATTGTCCCACTCTGTTAACCTCGTTATTCTAAATGATTCACAAACACAATTAAGAGGCCGATATTTGCTACACGGTAAATCATATTATTCTAGTTATTTTATACATAAATGATAATAGACCCAGAACCAACCAGATGTCGAATGCACATCTTTATGTGCTTTTATAAAAATAAAAACTACATCAACTGGTTATCCCAGCACTATAACCACAGAGTAATAACCAACAGGCTTCATGTCCCGAGCAACAAATTCCAATAATCTGTGACATCACCTTCACGTTTTGATGGGAGAGGAGGCTTCAAAGTAGTATGGTATGAGGATAGCTGCTGCAGCCAAAGCATATTCAAATATGCAAATTACAGGATGTTCACACTCAAAGTAGATGAGTTAGGTTTCTGATGATATGACTGTAGTATGCAAATTGCTTGCAAAGTTTTATTCATTAGTTTATTTTTTTTTTTGGGCAACCCCTTTTAACAAAACGCAGCCACACTGACAAGAAATAAAAATCTTGTGCTCCTCCCAAAATGAAAAGTAAAACATTCATCCTGCGAGGCTCCATCCATTTTCTTCTTGTGAAAATGAGAAGGACAACTGTCTGACTAATAACAGCTTATGACAGCATACTGCCAAGTAATCAACCCCAAGACCTGGAAATCACAGCCCTACTGATGCTCTACATGCACACATATTTCCCAGCAGTTCCTTTATGCTTGGATATTTCTGTAGACTCAGTGTTTACCACCCCTGACTAGAGTCAGCACAGGCCAAGAGGTGACAGTGCTGCCATGAACGTGGTTACTATAAGGTGGTGATTTGTCTGCACAGTTTCTCAGTCTGTTGTTTAATGCTCGTCAGTCTCTGTAGACTTTCTATGACAAGCAGTTCATGGGACCTGCCTACTAAACTGTTTGGTCTAACTGCTAATAAGATTTTCTCTGAAATGATGCATAAAGTGGTATCTTCATGTCTAAGGTGATAAGGTGAAAAAAAGTCATAATTTCTGTGGAATGCATGTTATTCATCTATAGCACATCCTACCATTATATTTAAGGAAAGTCAAAGCAAATTCAAACATAAAATCTATCAGCAAGATTTTTTTATTTTAATGAACTGTCACTTTGTTTGGCTGGAAAGAATTTACTTTAACTAGCAAATAATTCCTTCAGGCAAAAAAGAAAAAAAATATTTACAAAAATGTGTAATAAATAAGTAAAAGTCC